TACTGGCTGTTTGCAGCTACCACCTACTTAAAGCATGCATATTCGAATTCTTTCTTGCAAGGCCTCTTTTGGTAAATTTGTTTTGTTTGTGAAGCAACAAAAGAACCTGATGGACGCAGATGTCTGTTGACAATTAGGCACGGGAGCATATTTATTTGTTTACACTGACAAATTCAGCGCTGAATTATTTGGAGAAAACGAAAAATCAAATTCTTACTACGAAAACGTAAAGTAATACTTAGTTCAAAGATTATGAACTAAAGATTAAAAAAAGCACTTACTCAGCGAATCCGAAGAGATTGAAGAGAGGCAGAGTGGCGATGAGGGTGCCTAACACCCAGGATAATGCGATCAGGACGACTGCTCTAGAAGACCTGGAAAACATGGGTTTACTGCGGCTTCAGCCACACACTCCGAAAAGTTTTTTGGTATGCTTCCTACAACTTTTTCGGGCCCATGACCTCGAAATTCTAGAAAAGGAAGAAAATGTTTTTCGGAGCCAGACGTGCAGCGGAAAATTTTTCTATAAGGATAATACGGATTTTTTATTAATTCTAAAGTATTCGAATGATTTACAAGTACAAACAAGTCACTTGCACATTTATTTACATCCCATGTAAATAACTTTCAAAAATTTCGAGACCCTTTCTTGACAGAGGTCGCCACCGGTTCATTGGGGAATTACGAAAAGCTTGTTTATTTGGTTCTTCGCAAAAATGTACAAGGGATTATTACTGTTTATTTAATTGAATTTTTTTGTTATAGGTCTTTATATTTCTTCTACCTTTCGAGCTGTAAATTCACACTAATGAATTTGATAGCAGACTTTCGAGCGTTCAAAATCAAAAACATGCTAAAATCTGGTGAAGAGAATTGTAATTACTATTTACGGTGCTATCGTTAGCATGTACTTTGCATTGAAAAACGATAACAAAAGCATGTTTATGTCTGCATCCTTTTTCAGGTTACCACTGAGTGATTTCTAACATTGTGCTGCGCTTTGATACACTTACTTCCCTACACACGAACACAAAAGAATGAGTAAGCGCAAAGAACATTGACTAGAGAACCAGTGTTGAGTAAAGGAGAAAAAATGATTTTTAACGTCATCAAAGTTGCTGAAGCATTAAAAATTCACAAGACTTCAAGCGATGTAAAATGCTCAAATGATATGGAGTCGGGAAATACGACTTCAATTTGTCTACTGTTCTGCTCTCACGGTCTTGCGATTTGTTTCAGGCCCTGCAATACATCAGTTGTAACAAACAAGCAGCCATAATTTTGATTCGTATTTTTTCGAAGAAAATGAAATTGGTGGAAAAAAATTGCATCAGAGGATGACTTCGGCAAGAATGTGATTTTTGAATTTGACGGTTAGCAAAGAAAGGGTGATAAGCTTCAAAATCTGTTGCCAATTCAAGTACCAAGTTCAATTTGCACGAATCCGACAAATTGTCCAACACAAGAGTGATTTATCATCATCGCAGGTTACACTTCATTAGATGCACACACTCGAGACTTCAGCTTATTAGTGGTCTCTTCAGCCTTCTATACAGCTGATCTTCGCGACCGCCGCGGTCTTTGCGGGTTCATTAGTTTTCCTTATTTACAAAGTGTTTGCCACATCGCTTTTGTGTTCGACTCAAATTTCACGGTCAACTTTCAACGACTTCTGGTCGCATATAGCGGGGGATTTCGCACGATCGCGTTGTGTGGGTTGACAGCACTTAGAATAAATTTCAAAATCAGGGCATAACGAGGGAAATGAGAAATTTTTGAAATAAAAAGATTCAAAGCGAACGTTTGAGGTTTTACCTGGAACGAAATAGCTGATCTCGGCAGCAAATTGTAATGTACTTGTCGATGGCTATGGCTAACATATGAAAAGTTGAGATTGTACAAAGAATGCAGAGAATAAGATGAACAAAAAGGCATCCGTAGAAGGATTGAGGTCGCCGGGTTAGCACCGATATTATAGTGACCGGAATTCCAAGGAATCCTGCAAAGAAAACCTTAAACCTCAATCTTTCTTCTAGAAAAGAACAACTGCTGACCAGCCAGAAAATCCGTGATCGCCAGGGAAAATATATAGGTATTTGTAACAGTTCTGACGTCTTTCTTCCGAATGTAAACGTAAAGTACGAGTAGATTTGAGAGGGAGATGTGGATCGACAGCAGAAACTCGGCCACCGCATAGAGCAGCAGGTAGTCCATATGGCTGCTTCCAACGCTGACCACGCCTTCTCGGTGCTCACTGCGATGTGGGACGGGGCCCCTTGCTCAGGAAACCCTCATCGCGGCTCTGGCTGGCCCTGTTGAAGCGAATTCTTTTCGAATAAAAACCAGCACTTGGTCTGCAATGGATTTGGTCTTCATTCTAGAGGGGTTGCTAATGCTAACGTTTTTGCATCATCTGCTTGAAGTGTGTAAACGCTCTGGAGGCAAAGAAGACTCGGAACAAAGGATCTACATTAGGCTACTAAACAAAAACAGTCTAGATTTGAAGAGAAAACTGTTGAAAGTATGATGTCGTGTCAGAATTTTTTTGATTCAACGTTTTTCCGCTAATTTTTTTTCCGATTTGCTTACAACTTCGTCCTGACAAAGCAAGAACTTTGAACGCCTTTAGTGTTAGATCTTTCAAAATATTCTTACGGACATCCAAGTTGCTCACCCATATTAAAATATCGCCCTGCGCAATTCATGCTTCAATTTTGATTTATTGAAACTAGCATTGAAGAAGGCTAAAATTGCTGTAGGGTTGTACCATAGAATTGTATGTGCGGAGTAACCTCATGATTGCTGTAGCGGAGGAAGGGCCAGCCTGTTTTCTCTTGGATACAATTTCTAGAATTGGAAAATACCATGTACATGCGAATGTTCGATAAGGGGAGTATATGCTTGAGTACGTTGGAGTACTTAGGACGTTATTGAACAGTGGTCCTATTTCGCTGATCCAAATTTTTTTTGACTTTGGCTTTGAAAATCACTTAGTGGAATTCTGTGTTATTTCAATGTTTTTTTAGAGCTTGCCCTGCTTCAAGGAATGGTGTGAGCTCCACTTCAAAATTTTGAGAAAAAGTTTGTCGAATCCAAAAAATTAGTGGCAACTTAATGAAGCATAAGACGTGATTAACGGCACCGTCCACCCTAAGTTGGAGGTCTTGAGCTTCTGGCAGCATATGATATTAGGGTCTCCCATCAAACCAATAATCAAGTCGCAGCGCAATGTCACTTCGGAAGCGAGAAAATCGCTTCGGAATAACGAAGATGCACGAGGACTCCAGACAGCACCGCCCTCCCCATCCATGCCCGCCCCGCCCATCCGTGCACGCCCAGCCAATCACCGTTCCGCAAAGCCGGCTTGCGGGTTCTCCGGAACGGGGATTGTCGGGGTTTTCGCGGACTCTCGATTTCATATTCGGAATCAGGAACATGAGAAGGCCCCGGAACGATCAAAACATGAGAGTCGAGAATCTGGGTGGGCGGTGCCTACAAGTGCGACAGGCTCCCTGCTCTTGCGGGGCCTGGAACACATAACTGTTAAGAGTGAAAATTATTCCGATTTGAGGGCAAGCGAAATACTCAAAGTCCAAAAATTCATTGCTTTTTATACTATACAGCGCTATTTGCCCCTAAATTAGCGAATACTGCGAAGTGAGCAGCTTACTAGATAATCGATCCTCATTCTTATCATGAACTCCAGATGCAGCGCGTTTCCAGAAAATTCTGATCTCTAATGGTATTGGCTTTTAAACGGTTAATAGCTTTCCACCTCAAAGTAAGCTATCTGATTTCTTGGGAAAATCTTTTTCGAACTAGGCTTTCATTTTCCACAATATCATGTGACTCACTTCGACATCACGTGTTTGGGTGGAGGAATGCAGATTTGCTTGAAGCAAAATGGGGGCATTGCATGGCGCATAAATTGTCCTTGCACCTTTTCCCATACCTCCACAAGAACGGACGCAAATTTAGGGCATTGAAGGCTTGCCACGTTCTAGCCATCAGTATTCTTGAAAAAAGTATCTTGAACTATGACTTGCACAGTCTGTTCAACACATTGACGACAGCGTGACCCACATGGTGGGTCATACAACGACTGCCACGTGGGAATAACGTGTGGTGGGTCATGCTTAAACTTTGTTAAAATGAAAACTATTTTGGGAAGCATTCTACTGAAAGTTCTGTTACGCTCTGAACCTAGCAAATACTTCCGCGTTCCTCGGGTGCTTCCTGGAATTACTGTACTTATGCTGTAGATGACGATCTGTTTGACCTTAGCTCAAAATACCCAGCTTATCCGTGGAAGCCATTGTTCCACAGAAAGGACAAGTAAAAAAGCGCGTTTTCGTCACGGTGTTTAGAAACTCATAGAAATCACCCCTTGACACTTGGACTCTTGAACTGCAAAGCGCATTCTGCTGGAAAATAATACCGTAATCACAAAGATTGCGAAATGTAAATGGCGGACTGAAAGTGCAAAACCAGAAGATGGGTCACGCTTATACGAATCAGGGAACAAAAGCTTGAGCCTCTATTGACATTATAATTTATTAACACAATTTTTGAGAAAGTAATCACCACACCGAATCTAATCCAAGTGGGGGTTATTTATCATTTACAATAGGCAGAAGGCAATAGGTCATTTTTCTTTACAATAGGCAGTAGGCAATTTCGTTGAAGAGATATTTGTTCCGAGAACACCTAGTCACTCAAACTATGACTGCCCCAAACCTGCATTCGAGTGCATTTTGATGATTGGAGGTCCGCATTTACGTATAATGAGTAATAAAATGACGTGAGAAAAATGTCGGCATTTTGGTTGAGCAAATATTGGAAAAAGGGAAAATAGCCAGCTTTATCCTCGGAACCACAAGCAGAGCTGAGCACATGAGTAAAAGGATGGGCGGCTCCTGCAAGCTGATTTGTGCTCACGTTTTGCAAACAACTGCCTTATCAGCATTTACGATTGACTAGGCTAAATGCTCTAATTAGACATGAATGAAGTCGTCTGCAAGTTCTTAGTGAGTCTTTGAAAATCGGGATACAGAAAAGCCGTTAGTATTCTGCTTTAATTGCCTTGCCTGATAGCGATACCGGAACTATCAGGTTGATGCACAATTCTTGATTTCATTTAATTTTCTGGAAATTAAAATGAAATCATTTCAAAAATGCTTAAACCAAACTAGTAAATTCGCACAATGCGCTCTTTGTGCGTTCGAAAGCGCAAGATTCCTCTCTTAACTGTCCATCAAATCAGAAAATTTTCATGAAGCTGGAGTAAGTAACAAAAAACCAAAAAATTTGTGTAAGAGTTATACATCAACCTAATATGTACCTACTCTGCAGAAGTGGGCCAAAATCGTTTCCAATTAAATAATTTGACGAGAACCGCAAATTTGCAATACCCGTCTTGTTTACCTTTTGCACATCCCCACATATGACTTTGCAGTTTCTTTAATGCCCTCTCAAAGCAGAAGAAAGTGCTCAGAAATTTACATCGTGGCGGTGAAGGAGTCTTAGTTCCTTAGCTGTTCCGAGCCCTATGCCTATCCAAACGTAACGGATTAGTGTATTCAAAACGGAGTTTGGAGATTTCCTAAAAATCTTAATATCCAGTAGAATTACGGTGTATCCACTCCTAAATATGACCAGCTGCAGAATATTGCTCCTTGGTCCTCCAGTCCCCCCCCCCTTCCACCTCCTATCAATTTCTGTCCACCCATGAGTTTCTCAAGTGCTTTATCTCAATAATGCAAACGTTCAGACTTTAAAGGCAGTGTCCGGGCAAAAACTCGATTTTGAGATTTTGTGCTTACTTGGGCCTATTCGCTACGCTGAATCCGAAAATGCACATTATAGAGCGCGAAAATGGGGAAAAACGACTCTAACACAGGAGGGAAATGAGCAGGTGGGCGGGGTCCTCCCCACTGCGAATTCACGTTCCCGGCTTCCGGAGCGAACTTCTCGCTTCCGGTTTCAAGTCAATCATTCGCACTTGACCGGTAGCGATGTTAGGACGGCTAGCGGAATCGAGAAAATCGCTCCGGGAGCTGGGAGCGTGAAATCCCACCGGGGAAAGCCCCGCCCACCTGCTGAATTCCCTCCTGTGTTAGAGCCCTTTTTCGCCGTTTTCGCCCTTTCCGATGTGGATTTTCGGATTCAGCATGGCGGATAGGCCCGTATAAGCACAAAATATCAAAATCGAGTTTTTGCCCGGACACTGCCTTTAAGTGCAGGTAGTTTTCTTGAGATGGGTATCTGTGGAATGTGTGAGTCATCGACGTCTCTGCAAGCGTGAAGATATTCAAAAACCGAAAAATTATAAGGTACAATTTTGACCTTTTACAAGGTTCCGTAACATCGTCTAACTTTTCTGTTTTGTTGCAGTGTGAAACCATTCCGTGCATAGATCAAGAACATGTCCATTTTGTAAGGAAACTTGCCAGTGTCCATCCAGATTTTCATGCTCCACAGATTACTATACAGCGTATGAGGAGACCCTAGAAATAGACTCAACTGTGTTGGTTCGATCCCCTAGTGTTGCCTCCATTTCACGATATGCTTTTATAGAGGAGATAATGAACCATAATTTTTGATTTTGACGTTATCCCACTATTATTTCGAGAGCAGATGCCTACTAAACCAAGAAAGGCAACCCATCTCTGCCTAACTTCGCAAAACCTTACTCTTTCCTTGCAGCAGTAAGCTTAAATAAGTTAAGGCAGTTAAAGCTTGGAGTAGGCTTAGACAAGGTAGATAACGATAGAGGCTATGTTGAACTCTCTTGATTCATAATTTGCTGAAAAACTAAAGCTAAAAACGACTTACAAAATTTGAAAACATAAAACATGTAGATCACATTAAAATTATACTGTTCATTTACTGTTTAGTTTTACAAATTTACGACTACCAAAGCAAAGTTGGAAAGCTCATACGAAAGTTTCAAAATAAAACTGATAGTCATTGGCCCGTAGTAAAGCTCGATCAGTTGAGGTGAACTCAACTTAACCCATCAGTTCACCGCACGTGAGGTGAACTGATGACCACCCACCCTACCATGCTATAAGATGGTCAAGTCAACTGATGGTTGACGGTCTGTCCACCTGCTGCAGCTCAACTCTTCCACATCAGTTCACGTTCAAGTCACCTCAACGTGAACGGATGTTAGAGTGATCCAAATAGTGTGTAGAAGAGGAGACGCAGACAAGAGGTGACTGCATCTAACATAAGTTGCTCCTGAGTAACTTACGATACACACAGCTTTGCCAAAAAATGCAGAAAAAATCGGCGCAAAACTGCACAACCGCGCCCGAAAAGGAGAGGATCGATGAACAGCTGATTTTGGCGAGGAAAAGAGAAAAAAAACCTCTTTTTCTTTTTTTGTAGATTTTACTGACTTTTTTCTTTGTCAAACTGCTCAAGGCAAGAATTTGTAGATTTATTTTGTCGGATTTATGTTGCAGTTATTTCAATTTTCCATGAAATTTTCGTCAAAAAATGCGTTTTTGTGTCATCCATGTTTTTTCTAGGCGAAATCCTTGATAGCGGTCATCATCGATTTTCCGATAGTGGTCGCTATCAAAGACGCCCTGCAATACAGCAAAAACGTGGCGCTAGCCGGTGTCGAACCATGGCCGCGCGCGTTCAATTTCAGTCCCTTACCTGCTCGACCAAATCAGCTCGAGTGGTTCCCTTTTCAAGAACGCACTTGATTGTGGTGCCTCGAAAGCGATCCGCATCCAGATCAATGGCTCGCCGGATGCTAGACTGAGGCGTGATGAGATCAACGCCGGTCCGCATCGAGAAAGATGCCCTGATGGGGGGTTTACTACGGGCCATTCTGTAAAGGTCGGACGACTTCAAATCAATATTAACTTGACGCATAAGTTTTCTTCTCTCATAACTTCTTCCTTTTTGAAGGGAGTCTCTTTCTGCATCATAAAGACTGCGAAGCTACAAGACCTTGGTTATTTTTGATAACTTGAAAAAATTAAACCTTTTTAGACCGTTGAGAATCGGAGTTGTACGAATTATAGGCAAAATGGCCGTGCACAGTGCCTGAATAGAACAGATCAAGAGGAACTGTAGGCGGCATGTTGGTGGTTGATTTATTGAGTAATAATTGCAGTTTGAAGCCAAATCAAGATCTGGCGCCCTCGAGAATTGAACCAGTGAACTGCACTAAATTTGGAGGGGCATCCGTCAGTAACTGACAAAGGAATGGTCAGAAATCGAAGTGACCAATCCAAACAAGTTGCATACCACTAAAAGCAGAAAGCGCTGACTTCGAATCTGCATTCCATACTGCTTAGCGCCTACATATGTGGGCGTTATGAGCAGTTTTATTGAGAGAAAATCGTACTTGGAAATGAGAAATTGATCACATTCTGGCACTTTCAGGTCATTATTAGGCTTCAAGAATATGAAGTAACCTATCGCATGTTTTGGCCTAGCACAGCAGAACATGACTTGTACTGCGAATGCGCTTTGCATACAAGATTTCTTAGCAAAATAACGGCTTTTAATGGCTCATAACTTCGCCTATAAGCGCTAAGCAGATATGGAATACAGATTCGAAGTCAGCGCTTTCTGCCACGTTCAATGGTATGCAACCTGTTTGGGTCACTTCGATTTCTGACCATTCCTTTGTTATTTACTGACGGATGCCCCTCCAAATTTGACGCACTCCACTGGTTCAATTTCTTGAGGCGCCTGATCTTGATTTGACTCTAAACTCTAACTACTGCTCAATAAATCAACTACCAACATGCCGCCTACTCCTCTTGATCTGTTCTATTCAGGCATTGTGCACGGCCATTTTGCCTATAATTCGTACAACTCCGATTCTCAACGGTCTAAAGGAGTTTGATTTTTCATATTATCAAAAATAAAAAGATCAAGTCTTGTAGATATGATGCAAAAAGAGAGATCTTCCTTCAAAAAGGAAGAAGTTATGGGAGAAGCCACAAAACTTACGTGTCAATCTAGTATTGATTTGGCGTCGTCCGACCTTTACAGAATAACTATCACTTTTATCTTGAAATTTTTGTTAAGCCTACTTCGAACCTCAACTACCTTGAGCTTACTGCCACCAAAGAGTAAGATTTTTCAAAATTAGGATGGCTTGGTTTTCTTGTTTGGTAGGCATCTCCTCTCGAAATAATAGTGGGATAACGTCAAAATCGGAAGTTTTGGTTTATCATTTCCATTATAAAAGCATATCAAGAAATGCAAAAATGAAAAAATTATCAATGATTTTTGACGGATGTGGTGCAAGAGGAACGATAGTAATTGCCAGCAGCTGTTGCGAATGCACTATTTGCCTACACAATTCGCAAATTGCAAACTTATAAAAAATAGTAGATATGAAATTAATGCGCTACTCAATTTCTAATTAAGTTTTGTTTATATCCCGGCGGTATGTGCAATTCGGTGATGTTCTTGCTTGAATAAGCTTGAAATACTTGCAGTTATAACTTTGAGACCCTTTCTTGGCATTTTCAGCTATTTTTACACCTCATTTTCAAGCAAACACAATCTATCCGATTCTCCTGTCATGAAACCATAAAAGAAGGAAATGCTCTGAATTTCTGTGTATTGATGGACAAAAATGACGGTGAAGTATGCGCAAATTATTGACACCCACCAGCTACCGTTCCTCTTGCTCGCCACCCGTTTTTGCCATTTATTAAGTAGGGTAAACAGACATAGATATGTTGTCGAAAGAAAACAGTCCTCTTCAGTAATTAGAGACCCATGAAAAGTCAAGCTGATGTTGAATCCGACCTTTTTCGAAAGGGTAGTACCAGGCTCCTATAACCTCATATCGACTGATTAGATATTATTATCCCAGGACAGCATAAGCGAGTTCTCTATGTTTTCATCCTCAAATAATTTTTAGGTTCAATTTTTGAGTTTTATCGGGTGCTTGAAGGACAATCGTATACATGAAACATGACTAGAAACACATTAAAGAATTCTTTGTGGTCTAGGATTTGAGGTTCTCAATATTTTTCGCACACCATGAGGCATCTCGTCAATAAAGGACTGCGAAAGTCAGGAAACAGGCAAACTTGTGCCTAAGCATTGATGTTATAATGTGTTTCCCATATTTCCAAACTTGAAATTTTCAATATTTCGTAAATCAGCCAAGTTTCTTCAAACATACTCATATTCTAGAATACACTTTTGCTATTACTGTGCCAAAGACGTGCGAAAAGGGTCGTATTCTCCTGAAAAATAGTAGCTTATTTTGTTCATAATGGACGGAGTTGTTCTATAGCCAAAGCCAGTTTATGCATGAACGTTTGTCTATGTTGGTATACGCTACCGAACTCTTTGAAGGCAGCTTGTCCAGATTTCCGTTTTCATGCTTTTATCATTCTTGCGCCTTTGCGCGACCCTGATTTCGAACCGGATTGCAGGTCAGTTTTCTCCTTTTGGGGCAATACTAGGGTCTGTAATCCCTCCTGGTGGTGAGACGCGTACCCAGTACGCCTCGTGTCGGCGGCGATTCATCCAGCGGAATATTTCATATCACGGCTGCCGGGTGAAATCGATGGACGTACCGACTAGGAGTCGAGTACGTTGAGTTCGTCCTGTGCGCAAGGACCGTAGGCACATATCACTAGGTTTTACGCATGCCAAATACAGTGGCCCGTAGTAAACCACCCATCAGGGCATCTCTCTCGACGCGGGCCGGAGTTGATCTCATCACGCCTCAGTCTAGCATCCAGTGAGCTATTGATCTGGATGCGGATCGCTTTCCAATCATGATAATCATGTGTGTTCTTGGAAAAAGCACCACTTGAGCCAATTTGGTCGACCAGGTAAGCGACTGGAATTGAAACACCGGCCAGGGCCGCATTTTTGCTGTATGCTTGGCGTCTTTGATAGCGACACTATCGCAAAATCGATGATGACCGCTATCAAGGATCTCGCCTAGCACAGCATGGATAAAACAAAAACACATTTTTTGTAGGACTGTAGGACGTGCTCGTCGCCATGCACAGAGGACGAGCACGTCATGAGCGTCGTCACTTGCGGGCAGACAAAGAAAAATAGTGGGCCCGGTGAGGAGACGCAGAAAGGCGCAACCGACTAGGAGTCGAGTACGTCGAGTTCGTCCTGTGCGCAAGGACCGTAGGCACAAATCACTAGGTTTTACGCATGCCAAATACAGTGGCCCGTAGTAAACCACCCATCAGGGCATCTCTCTCGACGCGGGCCGGAGTTGATCTCATCACGCCTCAGTCTAGCATCCAGTGAGCTATTGATCTGGATGCGGATCGCTTTCCAATCATGATAATCATGTGTGTTATTGAAAAAAGAACCACTTGAGCCAATTTGGTCGACCAGGTAAGCGACTAGAATTGAAACACCGGCCAGGGCCGCATTTTTGCTGTATGCTTGGCGTCTTTGATAGCGACCACTATCGCAAAATCGATGATGACCGCTATCAAGGATCTCGCCTAGCACAGCATGGATAAAACAAAACCACATTT